GGAGAATACAATTATCTAAATATTTCAAATAATTTCCTCAGAAATTGGAAGATGGTGTTGACATCATGGCTGTGACACAGGAAATATTAACATTAGGATTTAAAATATTCTAAAACTATAAAACTTAGCAGAGCCTGTCTGACAACTGATGTACTCTGCAGAGGTGAACTGTGGCAAGGGGGTCCTTTAGAGTGACAGCTGCCCCTGATATTCCCTGATTTTACTTTAAAATCTTAAGCATGCATGTCATTAAAAAACAACCTTCCTTTGATAGGAGATATTAAGTGTTGCTTTTGATCAAACAAGCTCTTTGTCATCATTAAAAAAACATTTTTATCCATTTTATTGCATATGAATGATTGAACCCTTCTCTGAGGACACACTATTTTAGACGTAGTGAGAGGACATTAAGAAACATAGATTTGGTATAATGAGAAAATTTAATTGAAGGTGATAATTGTGTTAAATACATTCTATTATTAATCCCTCGTGACATTAAAAATTGAAAATATTTTTATTTTTAAATCTAATAGCAGTTACCCTTGCTGGACCTGTTTTGTCCCACGTCTCAAGAATGACTGAGTTAATGTAGAGTGGTTAAAGTACTTGATTTTTCTCAGACTTAAGCAGAGCAACAAAACATAGCACATTGTATTATCTATGATGAGACAAAGCAATTTTGGATGTTTCAGTGCAACTATGGTATTAGATGCATAGGAGACAAAATATTGATTACAGATGCATGTGAAGAGAAGAGTATGAAAAATAGATAGTAGATTGTAGCTAGAAACAAAAAATGGCAGTAGGATAGTGGGTTTAGCATAGAGGAAAGAAAGATGAAGCTCCAAGCCTACTGGAGAACGCTATCATGAGAAATTCACAGTGACAGGAATAGTGGGTTACTATACTGCCTGAGGTATCAATGGCAGTAACTCTGATACTGGCATGAACTACACAACCCAGTTCTTTCTAGAAAACAGGACATGTTTTCAAAAGTAATAAAATCTTAATGGTGAATAAGCAAAACCAACTATATTTAATTGCCTATACCCTATGCACATATAAACAGAATTTTATGACAGCAGCACAAAACAACTTGCCCCACTAATTATTTACTGATAAAATAAAAAAAAATTGCAACCACAAGTACAAGTAATTCATTTATTTACACTGTTTAAAATACACACATACGGTGGTAATACAAATTCTTACAGGAATGACAAATTGGCATGACTTCCACAGAAGTATGTGGAGCCCAAAGCAGCCATGGGCTTCAAAATGGGGGAGAATCAGATGAAAAATTTTATCCAGTAAGTTGCCAATGTCCCCTACAGATGACAGGGGAACAAGATGACCAGACCAGCTTTCAAGGTGCATTAGAAAAACCACATATGTGCTGGAATATTTCATAAAAGGGGAAAATCACTAAAACATCAAAGCAAGACTTTGATTTGTTTCAGTCTTTCAACCTTCTTTCAAAAATCGATATCTCCAACAAATAATTTTTCACTTCCAAAACACCATCTGAACCATCAGAACACAAACTTGCAGCAAAGCATAACCAACCTTTTCAGAAGACACATGTTGCAGTTCTAAGCACGATCTCCATGAATCAAAACATCACCCTCAAGAGTCAAAGTTCAAGTTCAGAACGCACAAAACCCCCAAAGTCTGGCACTTCATTGTTGTGGCTCTATGAAAGTGTGGATAAAAATAACTGCCGATAACTTTCAGACTCAAACCATCTGTGGTCATTTCATAGTCTTTCTAAGGAGTTGCATTGAAACATTTACACGATTATTTTAGTTATTTCACAGCTTAGAAACAGAAGAGACAAAATAATGGTTGAGGCAGTATTGTACAGTTAAAGAGATCAATATAGCAGACAAACAGGCGAGGTTCATAGGGTCCCTCTGTGAGGACATGTACGAGTGAAAACCACGCTGTGGAGTCAGTTTGCTATGAGCGATGTATGCTGAGATTCTGGCCCCTTTGTGGTCAGTCCACTCTATACCACCAGCTTCACCGTGGGAAAGGAACCAGCTACAGAGGGTTATTAAAATGTATATTAAAAAATAAATATAGAGTAAATAAAAAAAACCAAGTAAACCCATAACGCCACCAGACGGACTCATCTGTTGCCCAGGTTAAAATACAGAAGAAAATTCAGTATACAAAGAAACAAAAAGACCCATTTAAACCCACAGACGATACATTAGCCTCAATCGCGAGGAGCCTGAACCAGAGAAAGTTGTGCAGCACTGAATGTGTAAGAGTGGAACTGTGAAGGAAGGAAGCAGGAGATGACAATGGTGTGGCTGGCTGGTCCAGTCTCTGATTGGTCAACCCATTGGTGTGAATTCCCAACAGGCTGTAGCTCTCATGTCCACGAGAACATTTAAAGAGAGTGGGGGAGAAAATATGAGGAAATGAGATAAGAAGAATAGGAGAGAGCGCCTGTAAGCAAAGAGGTCAGGTTGGTTCTACACCATTTTGGTTTGGTCAATAGAAGAAAGAGACTGACACCCTATCTATTAGCTGATGGTGGAGAGTGGTCAATCAGCTGTGTGTAGTTAGGTTGCCCATCGTGCTCCATATTGCAAAGTGGAGGCTTCTGGGACATGGAGACAATCTGTAAACAGCAACAAGAGAAAGAGACACCCAATAAATGACAACTGCCACAGACCAAGAGAGTCTTTTAAAAAGACTTTCAGAATGATGAATTTTATAACAATGAATCTCACAAAACTGTCTGGGTCATATTTTAAGCCAAAATTAAGATATAAATGATAAAATGGTTTTAATATTAGTAATCAAATGTGTGTGCATATTGGGTGGGTATTCAGTGCCCTGAGAAAGGGAAAATGCTATATCTAATAAGCCAAAATTAAGATATAAATGATAAAATGGTTTTAATATTAGTAATCAAATGTGTGTGCATATTGGGTGGGTATTCAGTGATTTAAAAAAAACAAAAAAAACTCAACACAAGCAAGGATACATTAAATTGATTAAAAGTGACAGTAAAGACTTCCACACCATTACAAAAGATTTATATTTTGAAAAAAAAAAAATGCATCAGTTTCCACTGTTTTTAACATTCAGAATAAATGTTTTTCTTGAGTACCAAATTAGAATGGTTTTGAAGGATCACGTGACACTGAAGACTGGAGTCGTGACTGATGGAAAATTCTGCTTTGCCATCACATGAATAAATTGTATACACAATATATAGCAATTTCAAAATGTAATATTTCACAATATTGGTGTTTTCAATGTATTTCTGATCAAAGAAACAGTCTTGGTTTTTGACCAGTATATATACACTGTATGTATGTATGTATGTCAGGCCTCTCTCATCTTTTTAAGTGGGAGAACTTGCACAATTGGTGGCTGACTAAATACCTTTTTTCCCCACTGTATATACACACACACACACACACACATACATATATACAGGATTCTTTACAACATAACTTTCACAAATACAATTCTCAGTTTATATTACAGTAAAGAAAATGTAACTTTCACTTTTTCAATTAAATTAAACTCGCAAAATTTCTCACATAATAATAGATAATTGGTAACTGGGGAGGAGCATTTAAATGTCAATTAATGAAAAATCACAGAATGCACAATGAAAATTCTTAGTTTTAACATCTTAAAGATTGTGAAACTTGTTTTTATTTTGAAATACACTATTTAAAAAAATATATATATAATTCCATGTATATAATTCCATAATCTATAATTCCAGGAAGAACCTTTAATATCCAAGGAACTCTTCCTCTGCATTTTGTTTTTAGTAGTAAAAGGCTCTTCAGATTATTAAAATGTTCTTCACACTAAGAATTTTTAATTTTTTTTTTTTTTAAAAAGAACTATTCAGAGATGCAAAACCCCCTTTTAGAACCTTTATTTTAAAAGTGTATGACAGTTCACATGAGAGTCACCCAGTTGGTAGAAAACAAGGCAATGTGCAGTTACCACAAGCTAATCAAACTCACCTGGTGCACCTGCCTTCACACAAGGATGTGACGATCAACTACTTGCCGTGGTGATCGAAGGGAATGCTATTCTGAGGTGAAGAGAGAGAACATTACAGCCTTCCACCCCCATAAACACAATCACATGTGCACTGACACACTGCTCACACCAACTCATAATCATACAATGCCTACTGTCTGTCATATTGAAAAAAAAAATGCTGCTGAAATGACTTTTCCCAGAAACACAAACGTTAGGTCAACAGGCTCCTAGAAAAGGCTTTTCAACTATCTAATAAGCAGATTCAATTTTAAGTTAAATGTCACCAGTCAGAAACTCTAAAAGAGATCATGAGAATCAAAAGGTCAATTACTGCAAGCAATAAAAGATGTACTAATATTTCATCAGGTATTTATTTTTGTGAACAATTTATGTGTAGAAATAAGAATTCCTAGTGTAACCATTCAAAGCCAGAGGCACTGAACTATTCGTTCTGACAGAGTAAAACCTCTTTCGGTAAGCAATTATCAAAACAGCTCATTCAGATACTTCTTTTGTAATGCAGTTTATTATTGCTCTGCTTAAGGCTTGAATGAGCAGGGTCTGCATTATACCTGTGAAGTGGACATGCGGGAAGTGTCTTGTCTCCCCGTCAGGTCTGAGGACGACACGTTCACTGGGGCGCCACGATGAAGCCGCATGCTGACCTTCCGTTCGCGCTCCATGCCAGTGACCGGTCTCGGTGAGGATGTGTTTGCTGTGAGATAGTGAGAAGCATGAGATGACTCCTTGTAGTCTTTCAAGTACCTGAGAGGTAAGTGACAGACTGTTTACCTGTGTGAGAGGTGGGGGTGAGGGGTGTGGGAGGAGCTCCGTCCTGTGTGGGGCGGGGTCTGCCTGAGGCTGCTGGGATCCCTCGAGCTGCAGGATTCCTGCTGTGCCTCATCCGCTCGTCTCGCTCTCTCCTCTCACGTTCCACCTCCTCTGCTGTACGGTTGGCGCCCTGAGAAAGGGGAAATGCTAAATAATGAAACACTGAAGCAAATAGTGCTACTTGATGCACACAGGAGACTTGACACAATTGATTCAAATACTCTAGTACATATCCCACCAATAAAAAAAAAACAAATCTAGATTGATAAGAAATATTACTTCGCAAATCAGCTTATTAGAATTATTACTGAAGAATCATGTGACACTGAACACTACAGAGTAACGATGACTGATTAAATTCATCTCTGCCATCACAGTAATAAATTAAATTTTAAAATGCATATTAAAATGACAAAACAGTTACTTTAAATAGTAATAACACTTTACAATATTACTGTTTTTACTTTATTAAATGCAGCAGGTGAGCATAAGAGACATTTTTCAACAATTTTATATATATAAAAAAAAAAGCTCTTAATTTCTTCAATAATGTGACAAACTATAATATAATGCCTTGATTAACAATTAGAAGTTATAATAACTGGAAAATCATGTGTATATGATGACAATTCAGAATAGTCAAAAGTCAGATTATTGCAGTCAATGTAAGCAATCAAGTGAGTGACATGAACACTAGAAATAGAGATGAATGATTTAGAAATGTTTGGATGATACTGATATGATATTTTGCTGCTTTGCCTGTGATCTTCGTTTTGCCTATTTCAATTATGGCTGCAAACAAATACTTTAATCCTATTAAGGATTACAAAAGTGGATTTATGTGGTGTAATATTTAAAAACTCAGAAATGCAACTACCATCTACACACACACAATGTTGTACCTCTGCACAACATCATAATCATACCAAATCAATAACAGTTTAAGTCTCATATATCACTAATGAACAAACTACAACAAGCAACACAAGTTTAATTTATCACACTCTAAAGAACGAAGACCATCCAGACATGTACTTACAAATTTGAGCATGTTCCAGTCAAACACGTAATCATAGGAAAAGCCCTGTCTGTGGAACAGATTCCTGAAGAGTTGCCTCAAGTACGAATAGTCTGGCTTGTCATCAAATCGCAGTGATCGGCAAAAGTTGAGGTACGTAGCAAATTCAGCTGTGGGACACAAAACAAACAGCCGTATTACAATACAGGATTGTAGACATAATTTCAAAGACTAAGCCTGATTAAC